TCCCCAACGCAAAAAATACATCTTCATACAATATAGTTGTTGAGCATGAAAAGTTGATCTCAGCAACAGTTTATCACTGCACAGTCCTTTGATCTTTCGGCATATATGTCAGTATTTGCGCCATCAGCTGACTGGATTACTTTTCCGTCCTAATTAATTCATACAGTTGTGGAAGATGGCTTTGAAAAGACGGACGTATTCTGACAAGATCAACTGATAGGGCAACATGACTGACTGATTGCGCACATCAACTGATTGTCCTCAACATAAATAAGGGCTTTAAGCATCAACTGCTGGTAGTGCTGTGCAGCCTGTTCCATGAGACTAGAACCACTACAACATCATTATGCAGGATGTACTCCTTTGTACCTCATGAATATGTATTACCTCATTTGCATAGACATCATACAGTGTCACAATCGCTTGGTGGCCACTGCAGTGACTGTGCAGGGTGATTTCCGTTCTGGAGCTTGGTTTGTCAGCGAGAACCTTCAGGGCGTATCGCTCATTGGTTCCGTTCTTCTTGCATGGCCAGACTGGCCCATTGACGCCAGTGCCTAGCTTTTGCTTCCAGTTGATGGTGTAATCATCGACAATAGATGATGTCTGTTGGAAAATGAAGACCAAGTTAATTGCCTTGGAGTAATAAATCAACATAATACTGTAATAATATGAAATAAATAACGTATAAATATGCGCACAGGGATGAACATTTCAATGACACATAACACTACATGTAGCTCGTATTTCATTTTTTTCTGAAAGTGTGTCATATAATATTAGCCACTGATAATTTCTCGACAATGTCAGTAACATCATGAAAATTACACATTTTCTGTGTAAAAATTTAATACTGCAATCATAATTTTCCAATTCACATACAAACTCATTTCACCATCACCATTACCAAATAAATCATCTTTAAATAAATTTCAATCTTGAAATCTACTCGTTGCCTTCCCTTGCCATGTCTTGAGCCTTGCATCACCTGCATCCTCCTCCACATCATCAGATCAACATCAAGTTTTCCCTGTCAACCAATTTCTTCCTCTTAACAACATCCATTAATCATTTTCTTTGGTCCTTACTTTAAATTTAATCAGCGCATTGGCAACCTCGTTGAGTGACGTATCTCTCGCCTCCATGCTGAGAAAGTAGCTCAAGTTAGCAGTATGCTTGCTCTTAGCTCTTGGAAACTTCGAACTCAAATGCAGATGGATTTTCGATGGATCAAGATGACAATGGGCATACAGACACTGTCTGGGCTTCCGTTGATTAAGTTTTCTTCCTTGACAAATTCACAAGATTCTAACCTACGTTATAGCCCAAGGGACGACGTACAAAATTTTCAATGTTGTCATTTTCTTCGATTTAGGTCAAAGTTCAATTAAATACCCTTGCGCTGGTTCCGTATCCCGTACGAGAAACAATGACGATTGATGTGGGTACCAATTGATCATCCAAAATGGCAGCTTCCTAGTAGGCCTAAACGAGAGTTAGGCACTAAATAACGAATTTCCCCGTTCCTTTCCCCTTTGGACGGAGAAGAAATCAGCTATGCTTACTCCAAGTGGCAGGCTGATCATTCCGGAAAAGTTCATTCCATTTTTGGGAGTAGGGGCTGCAGTTGCAGTCACTCTTACCTACATTTTCTGGGGACCGGATGATGCCGGACGCGGTTCTAAAGCAGGAACTGGGAAACGAAGTGAGAAAACTTTTCCAAGTGAAAAGCTAGGCCACTGCAGGCAGTCAGGGCAGACTAACTTAGTCTTAGACGTGTTGGAACTTATTCAAAGTTTTCTTAAATGCTCAATAATTTTTAATTGGATTGTCATGATTGTACCAGGAATTCCTAATTGGACCGTAACATTGTTCAAGTGTCACAGGCTAGATATTCAAAGAGAGAAACATGTGTTTAGCACCTAAGTTTACATGTAAATGGCTTTAAAAAGTAGAAATTTTTGCCAGTGTCATGGTGCTCCAATTTAAGGAAGTGGGTATTAGCCAATTTCCATTAATCATTGTGGTAGTGTGAGAGCTCAATCAATATGCGCACTGCTCAGCGAGTATTCATGCCAGATTGAAGCCATACTTTGTATGTAATTTTTTCCTTTTTTCGTAATTTTTACAATTTCCTTACATGTTTTTCTTTTCTGTTTTAATAGATTCAAACCCTGGACGATTTTTCAAAGGGAATTAATGTCCAAGATCCATTTGGTATAGACTGGTCTGGTTCCCATTTCCAATGCACCAAACTAGTGCCGCGAAAGTAAACAGCAACCTGTCCAAAGTTTTGTGACTCGAGTCAAGTCATTGTAACAAAGTGACTTGAGTTAAATCATGATGCAAAAAGGTTGAGTCAGGTATTTGTTCGATAAACAAAAATGAGAGAAAGTCATTTTTTTGTTATTAATAAAGCTGGTGACTGAGCATTCGCAGTCTCAGCAGCAAAGGAGTGGAGCAGTCTGCCCTCTAACATTCAGAGTGCCATATCATTCGAGCAATTTAAGAAAATACTCACAACCTACCTGTTCTACCAATAATGATAACGACGATACTGTTTACCCAAAATGGGTCACTTGGGAGACATTCCCCTTGGAACTGTGCACAAACTTTACTGTCCCATAATTAAATATTCCCTAATCTGATCTGAACCAAACTTTGCATGTTTTCAATTTCGACCCTAATCTATCATCTCTCAAAATTTGGACACTAAAATTCGGCCTCCTTCTGGTAGCTTGGGCATTAGGGAGACATTGAAATGTCTCCCTAATGACCGATGTCTACCTGAGGTCAAAAAATTTACCACAAAATGTCTCCCTGAGTACCATTTGTAAGAATAATACATATTTCTAATGTCAACTTTATTAGTGTATTTATTAAAGAGCACCTCTAAGGAAAACATGTTTTCTCTGATTTCATCTGTTCAAATTAATATGAAAGCATCCAAATCGAACGCAGTGTCATTTGTCTTCAGAGCTCAACTGTAACAAACTAAACAGGTTTTTTTTCTGTTAATGCAAAGATGCGAATTCTGAATGTAGACTGCGTCATTCTCAGAAAACAGAGAAAACAAGTGGAACCTGCATCCTGTGTTTGTAATGGATAAACCCTTGTGCTAGCCAAACAATGGCTACATGCATTGCTTGGCATGCACAAGGGCGTGAACGTGAAGGGATTATCCACTACGAACACAGGGCGCGGGTTTCCCTCGTTTTCTCTTTTTTTTCTCAGAATGACACAATGTACATTCAGAATTTGCATCTTGGCATAAACAGAAAAAAAAACCTTTTTAGCTTGTTACACTTCAGCTCTGAAGACAGATGACACTGCGTTTGATTTGGATGCTTCCATATTTATTTGAACCGATAAAATCAGAGAAACTGTGTTTTCCTAAGAGGTGCTCTTAAGTTCATGCAATTATTTGACTGTTTATCATTTGTAAATGCTGTGATTTTGTTACTTAAATGAGCTTTTTTTAAATGCTGGTTATTATTATCATTATTGTTGTAACTTTAATTTTTTGTTAAGATGTGGTCACACCACATCTTATTCTTGATAAAAATAAAACATGACACGTGTTATAAACCAGCGTAAAAAAATGTGACTCAAGTCAAGTCATAGACTTGTCATTACAATTCTGGGGTAGGTCAATCCAATTTTACACCAACTATAAAAAGTACAAACATAACAATGGCGCTGAGGCATGTGGCATATAAGTTGTAAGCAAATCCATCCTTCAAATTCTGACTGGTTTCTATTAACTTACCATGTCCACATCCAATAAATTGCATGATAAGTCATATTTTCTGATTTCACAAGACTCCATAACCAGCAGATCTTGATGTTTTCTGGGAAATGCAACAATATTTTAATTTGCCATGGTGTATGATCAAACTAAATTTTAATATAACACTAAACGTCAACGTTTGACGTTTTACTATGATTGGTACTTGGATTTTGCAGGAAAAGTTGCCGGACTGGAGAACCTCGGGAACACCTGCTACCTGAACACGATCCTACAGAGCCTGGCTTCATGCCCGGCATTCGTTAGGTGGCTCAGCAGGGCTCTCCGGCAGGGATTCTTTAAGGGCAAACGCAATGAGCTTGCCTATAAGCTCTCCAAGACTTTAGAAGGTACCAGCACATGTTGATTAGGTCCACAGAATGACATGTTGATTGCAGAAAAATATTTGAGGCCAAGTTCAGTTGCATTTACTTTTGAACTTAGACACTTTTCCCTGAATTTCTTTAAGGCATATGTAAGTGGCCAGTAAGTTTGTCTTTTCCTTGGGAAAGATTTTGAGAATTTCATTAAAAATTGTATAGAAAAATGACAGTTTTCCTTGGCACAGCAACTGAACATGGGCAGTGAGTACTTTAAGGGATTTACACACTTACCACAGAAAAACTTTTCATCCTGTTCCGAGCTTGCATTTGTCCTTGTCAGTTCCTGCCACAGGATGGAATTCATACCTAGTGCAACTTTAGACTTCCCCCCCCCTAAAAAATCTTTTAGAGTCAGAGATCATGAAAAGAAGTGAAATCTCGTTTTTCCTGCAGTGATGTTGTTTGGCCTTTAATTTGATTAATTTGCCAAGTAAAGGTAATATGTCAGGTTTGGATATCTTGATGGCTAAACCATTTGAGGTGAATGGGATTCCAATTCTTACATCATTTCATGCTGGTTTCTTTCTCTTCTACAGTTGTGAATGACCACTCGGCCCATCACGATGGTTCCCAGGTCTACTCCCCACATGAAGTTCTGCACGCTCTGTACAACTGCAGTTGGAGAGCTGACAGGGACCAACAGGTGGGGAGAAGTTGGCATCGTTTGGGCTCACAGTGACTGTGTCATCTTCTTTGTAGTTGTCTCTGTCAAAATGTGGCCCAACCTACCAAAATGAGTCATAAGTTGCCAAAGCCAGAAGAATTTTGCATATTGCAAATCATCTGCAGACCTCCACAGGCACCCTTTTTACAATGTAGTTTCACAGTGATTTCCGTTTATCATCAAGAAAGTAAATCAAGTGATGTACAGGGCGTATCAAAATAAAGGAAACCCAAATTAAACCATTATTTATAGGAAAACTGCAGATTTCTTAAGCCTTTATATATGTCTCCAGAAAGGCCTGAAAGTTTTCTTTCCAAGGACACCTTGATCATGTGCTTAATGTCACAGTTGAATAAGTAACAATGCATTATTGACTAGCAGGTGAAATTTGCACTGTGACAAGTTAACATACACTATACAGTAAATGATGCACATTTGAAGGTGCTTATGCCAGCACAAACAAGTGCTTTTGAATGTGCGTTTATGCTAACTTGTCACAATGCAGATTTCACCTGCTGGTCAACAATGCATTGTTACCCATTCAACCGTGACACTGAGGGCATGATCGAGGGTCACTGAAATGAAGACATTCAGGCCTTTCTGGAATTATTTAATGCTTCATTCAGAAAACTGCAGTTTTCCTATAACTTACAGGTATGGTTGAATTTGGGTTTCCTTTATCAAAACCAAAAGCTCATTTTGCTCTCTCTAATTCAGAGTAAAACAGGACATCCAAACAAATTGTCTTTAACACTCACTTTGCAAGACCCTTTCACCAATTTGTTTGGACTGTGTGCACAGACTGCTGGGGAGGAAATTATAGCCAGAAGTAGCTAATTGCAAACGGTAGCATCCTATTAAGCTTGGAATCAATGAGTTTGCTTGTGAAAGACAATGCATGGGGCCCAATCCAGCAAAATGAATCTGCGCGGCTACCATTTGAAATAACTGTCTCCTACTCTGTACTCTTCTTCAATATGTGAACATCATTTGACATCCTTATAAGGGTAAAAAGCACTAAAGAGTGTACTTTTTATAAATGTTTAAGATTATCCATGCTTTTCCTGTACAACTGAGGGCACTGTTTTTGTGATGTCATCGAGGGAAGGCACAGACCAGTGCATACATTTTTATGTTCAAATTACAAACCTAGAATTTACTCAACTGGCTATATTTCTGAGAGAGGGTATAGTTGCTTGCGTATTGCTATGCACATTTACAACAATGAATCACAAGAGGAAAGTAAACAAAGGTTGGCAAAATCTCAAAAATAACGCAGCATTTTTTTTTTTTGCACACAAATCAGGGTAACACTGAGATTTTTTTTCCTGGGATAATGTCACAGTTTGGTTCATGAATATGGGAAATTCTTGTGAGCATGATTACCTCAAAGGCTGCAAAGTACCCTGTAATATTGGTGAAGTGAAAATTGAAAATGAGGTTATTTGAGAAGCACAGATGCATTTGGGAGGTTTGGTTGAAAAAAAGCTAGGCAGAGACTCTTGGAACAGATCTGGCACAGTAGAAATTTTCACTGGCATCTGCATTCATTAGGATGCAAAATCAAGTAATTCATCAAATAATCCAGCTGAGTTCACACTTTCATTATTATTCTTTTATTATTGAGACTGCAAGCGACCCAAAGCCCTCATGACTCAATGTGCTGGTGCTCATGATCCAGCCCTTATATTAATGCCTTCCCCAGTTGCTGTGAGAACTATTGAGGGCGCTCTGCAATCTACCCACGAGGGTCAAGTGAGAGCACCTTCATTTCACTGTTGCTGTGAATGGTCACGATCTTAGCAGCAATGTAACGTCTTCAACTTCTGTCTTTCCAGAGCTTTCCCAGGTCCTTTTTGTCTTGATGAATCTCCCTGTCTCTTTTCATGCCAGTGCATTTTTCTCTTCTGTTTTCAGGATGCGCACGAATTGTTCCAGTTTCTCCTCTCTGTCTTGGGCGAAGAGAAGGAGCCCGTCCCATCTCCCGTGCCCCTGTGCGATGCCTCAAAATTGATCGTAAGTTGACACCCAAAACGCTGCAGGTCGCTGAGCAGATGCTTTGCTATTTGTGTTGGCCCCACCTCATGCATCCGGATGAGGTAGCACTATTCACTTGATGGTCATACCTTTCAGCAACACATTCTTTCTTTTCCAAAGGCAAGAGGTTACTTCTAGGCGTTACCTTGAACTGGTCAGTTACAAGCCAATAGCTAAACAGTTTCGGTCTGCAGCTGGTAGTCACCACCTGACCACAGCGTTCAACAATGAAATTATTTTTTACAGAACTAGCTCCTAATGGGCATCTCACAGTTTGAATCGTAATTATGCTGCTGCTAGTGGACTGCCCTATGCAGCAGGGATCCACAGGTGTCTACACCTGTTGCACTGTGTTGTGCATGATGGGGATATGGTTTACTTCTTAGAGACTACAGTATCAGTTTCGTAAACATACACGCGCATTGTACTGTCAGACCTCTGTTGATACAGCAGCTAGAGTTTATTATTTGATCAAATATTTTCAGAGATTTAAAGCACAAACAGTGCACCAAACTGATTTGAAGATTTTAGGGTGGATGTCTCGTTGCTACACAGGAGCCTCCTGATGACAGACTGAGCAGAAGTATTAAAACTGTTAAGTTCCATCAGTTCCTTTCAGAACCTCAATCATTTACAAAAGGGATTTCATGTGGTACTAATACACATCTTCGTCTCACTGCTGCAAAGTGCCTGCCGACCAAAGGGCACTGGCCTGCAAGATGGCAGCCATGCAAACCCTCTATTAAAGTTTGTGCTAGGGGTTTTGCAAGTCAAACCTGCATTTACCCATTAGCCTTTTAGATGCATGGCACACACAATAGGAGGGCGCTACTTGAAGTGGGTAAGTTTGGAGCAAACACAAAAGAGTTTACCTAATTCACATAGCGCCCTTCTGTTGCGTCCGCCGTGCGTCTAAAAGGCTAATGGAGATTTTGGCAGGTTGACATTGTTGATGTTCCCCAGAGGCACGGTGTACTCTAGCAAAACAAGAAATGTGTGTGGCAGACAACATGGTTTATACACTTACGCAGTGGGTAGGCTAACAGGCACTATTCATGTACACTTATACGCTGTACATGTGCAAATCGATCAGGGCAGATGGATCTGCCCGTGACTTGCACCAAGTTCTGCTTGTGTCATTCAGTCACTCGGGAACCCAGAAGTTTCTTCCTGAAGTGGAGGTAAATAACTTATATTTCCCCCCTGCTGATGTCAATATAAATAACCAATATTGGCCTTGGCAGTTGACAGATTGATAGAGCAGTTGGCATTGAAAATAGACAGATACGGGGTGGAACATGTGCATCCATTTTGGATCCACACGTATATGTACACCCTGATGATGTAGGCATGCTCCTGTGGGCTAGCAGCTCATGTTTCGTGCCAGGGAATTATGGGATTTTGTTCTGGCTTGACTGAAAATGTATGACTTCCTGTCGAGGGTGGAGCTTGCAAGTGCTTGTACGAAATCTTCTGGCTCAAAATCAAGGCCATGTTGGCTAGCTGATAAACAAAAGCGGCCCAAACTGCCTTTCTTGTCCCACAGTGTGGCGTGAGTTTTAAGTTGTATCAACCAAATCAAACCGGGACTGCGCTGCACAATGGAGAAACATGAAAATTTCCAATTTAAGTCTTAAGAATGTTGCTTGTTTAAACAGGTTCATGGATATATATATTCTTACTTACACTTACATGTAGCTACATGCACATACATGTACGTGTAGCTACATGTACGCTAGTGTAAGTGATGCCTGGTTGGCTACATCAAGAAGCACAAATGTCTGTACATTACAATCCTGTCTTATGGCTTGTAACCCAGTTTTCCACTTAGCAGCTCCATCAAACACGGTTCTGGCTCCAAGGTCATGGCAATCAAGGCCAAGGAAATAACGACTCTGTCAACTCGGCAATTTTTAGACAATTTCTGGCAGTCAGGAGTTTGCCGGTGCTGTTGCTTGTGCGAATGATGGCTGATTGATTGAGCAGTTGTTTCCTAATTGAGCCTGGCAGAGGTCTCGCTCTGTTCCATTGGCCAGTCCATTTCAGTCTTGGATTGACCTGCAGAAAATATACCACTTCCCCTGTTGCATCTAGCCTGCCTTTTTGAATATATGCGCATGTTTACTGTCCTCTGAAAGTGTTTTTCAACAGGAAATGAAGTATGTTTTTATGTCAGCCCAAGATAAAGGAAAAGAATAATGTTGCGCTTTCATGTAACACAACTCAAAAAGCTTTTATGTGATTGAAAAGCCTAGTTTAAGGGCTTAGACTGAACTGGATGGTGTCATTAATTTTTATCACAAAGAATGTAGTTGCTGTAATTTCTGTAGTAGTACCCAAAGATCTGTCATTGAGGGATGTAGTTCTCCGTGTTATGAGTCTGTTTATCGTGGAGGAAACTTGGATAGGAACAGGCCTCGTGTTATAACCTTGTCCACTCCATGCATGAACAAGAGATTCCGTGATTTTAAATAGCAAAGACGTCCCCTTGATGGGGACATTGGGGCATCACCACACAGTTCAGCAGGATAGGCACAGCTCTGATGAGTTGATGATCAATTTCTATAGGAGAATACAGTCTCTGTGTATATCTACTGGTGCCCAATTGGAACTGTTCCCATCAGACTCTCTCTCTCTCTAGATCTCTTGCCTGTTGATTGGGGGTACCGGTGAATGGCACCATTAGTGTGCTGATTACCAATTTCTGAAAGCAGCATACATGTAGGTACAGTGGCGTAGCTAGGGTTTTACTATGGTGGGGCACAAAGGGGTACCAGCATCTTATAGGGGGCACCAGTTTCCAGTGGGAGCACAAGGAATTTGTGGGGGGGGGGGCATATGTCCCCCAGGTCCCGTGTGGCTACGTCACTGTGTAGATGCTGAAACTTTCTGGATAACTTTCATTGGAAAATAATGCTCTTTGTTCAGATGTGTGGTTGCCAGTGTTTGTTTCCTTTTTTAGCAACTGCAGCCAACGTCTTTGTTGCTGCGTTGTGTTGAAAACGTTTCATTCATTATAAATCGCACGTGCACTTGCATAGTTTTTCTGTACTTCATGAACTTTGGAGGGAACAGTCCAGCACGATCACGCACTTGCCATTACACAGCACGTGCTAGTCACTTCTTCAAAATTGCCCAAATGTGCAGTGTGTATGGAAAAAAAAAGTTGCGTTGTTCAGTAGTCAAGGGACCATGCGAAAGGAGGCCACAGACTTTAACAAGCAAGAAAGTACACTCACACCGACCTCAGGCTTTTACATTTTTTTTTAAGGAAGATGAAGATCATCAAGATATTCAAGATCAAGTCCGGCTTGAGTTCAACAAAATGTTAGAAATGTGCATTTATCAGGAAGAGAAAAACATGTTTTGAATTTCCTGGCTGACTAGGCAGAATGAGCCTGCCGGTACGGTACACCTTTCACGGCCAAACTCATTGTGACAGAAAACATTATTGAGTGAGACAAGCCCTTCCTCCTACGGGCAATGCGGATCAAGTGATTGTGCTATCATGCCGTATGGCTGGAATAAAGCAACTGTAAAATCTAAGGCGCCCCCCCCATGAAAAAAGTTGTGGAGAATTGCATATGCATGTGCACCTGTCCATGTTGGTTAAGTGTGACCCTGATTGTAACCTGCACATTGTTTGTTTGAACGATGAGTAATTTATCACTTGAACTCGAAAATACAGCTTCTTATTTCTTTATTGTCATGGGGGGGCATGTTTTGTTAGAGACAAGGGAGTTGAGGCGGTAAGCAGAAATCTGAGTGAGCAGAAAACGACTAATACTTCAAAGTTAATCCTTTTGATGAGTTTTAAATCTTGAACTTTGAAAAATAGCAAGTTGACCCCAAGTCTGTAAAAATCAGGTCACATTCATGGAGATGTACATACGGGGTATATGTAAGCACTGAAGTTAAGTACGTTAAATAATGAGAGCTTTCATACTTGGAAGAAAAGTAGAATACCAACTTTTATTTAAAATACAATACAATGGTTAATATTGTGCCTTTGGCTGTGGAATTAAGGTTAATTAAAAGGACATGGAATTAAAATTACAAACAGGAATTACAAACAAGAGAGAGAAAAAAGTCTTGATTTGAAACTAATTTCATTTCTGGGAGATAATACCTGCATGTAAAGAGTCGTTTCTGCATCTGATTGAGTGATGAGTTTAGATGGCCGGCCTTCCCTCAGAGATGCTGCCTAAAGACTGACTTTGGAGTTGGGAGGAAACGTCATTTCTCCTACCCACCTAGAGCCTGTGCTGTCAAACCAGTGCATCGAGCCCCATGAAGAAGATTGATAAAGAGTAACTGTGAATGGTCCAGATTTGTTTTAATAGTCTGATTGGAGCCACCTGCAAAGACGCTGCCTCAGCTTGCCTGGGTGGCACTGTGGGACTAGTGCGGGGCCATTGTGCTGGCTTCATGTTCAGGATGTCTCATTAACTTTTCCCGTGTTCATGCATGCAATCATAAAGGCTCCAAGATAGTTGCCTTTTGATCTTGTGTAGGGAAAAAAATTTCAGAAGAAAAACCAAAAAACGATATGTACATGTTTATCCACACAGGGTATGTTTAGTTTCAGGATACACTCTGTAGAAGGCTTTCAACTTCTGATCCAGCATCTGACCTTCTTAAAACTCACGTTTAAGGGTATTGGTGTCCACATTTTTGGTGTGTATAATTGACTGTACGGTTTTAAACCCCAAATCGTACAAATTTGGCCTACACATAGATTCAAGTAGATTTGTTTGACTAGAGAAAAAGCAAAACAAACAGAAAAAGCCCCAAATTGCATGGGTTGGGACGAAAGAGGGTTTTTATTTTGTGCGACTATCTAACTGCTTAAATTTTTGAAATTGACAGATTGAGCTTTTACTAGACATGGATACAGGAACTAAGTAGACCTGACTTTTGGTTCGATTTCTACCCACCTTTATCCAAAATTAGTGTGATAAAACACCTGCACATGTAGGTGCCAAGTGGGCATCCTGAAGCCACAAGTTTGACAGATGAGGGAGGCAGGCCCAACAACGGAATATCGAGAAGCCTTGAAAAAGAGTTCAGCCCCCCCCCACCCGCCAAGTTTAGTTGTTCCTCAATTTTTAATTTCTTTGACCTTGCAGGAACCTGGAAGGAACGGCTTGACAGCTGCCCACTCAGACCTTCACTCTAACATTGAAGCAGACCTACCCAAAGTTGCTTGCCGGGATGGAGAGTCACCCTTCAGGGGCCTGCTGGCCAACCATCTGACATGCACCGTCTGTGGCCACAGGGTAAGGGTGTGCAGAATAATCTTTTGTACCGTACGTGGTCTGCGGCCGCAAGCCCTCGAGCACGGGCCAAGGCCCTGCAAGAAGTCTGCAGACCGCCCCCAGGCACAGGGTGGATTTTGGCGGGACATTTTGTTTGTACTACCCGGTCTGTAGCCACAAAGCAACTGTCTGCAGGGTGTTCCTGGGCACAGGGTTGAGGCTCTGGGGAAGTTTGTGTTTGCAATATATGGTCTGTGGCGACAGGATAGCACTCGGCAGAATGTCCTCGGAAGGAATACAAGGGTTTGCTGAGTGTTCCATAAAAGGGAAATCTCTGCAGATTGTTTTCTTTGTAATATGTGATCGGCAACCACAAGCTGAGGTACCGTAATATAAGAATACAATCTTCCTTTTCTGAAATGGTTGTATGTAGATCTTGGCTTCGTAACATTTATGGTAATTCCATTGTTCTGTTGTGCTTTTAATCTTAGAATCCGGTCACCTACAGCAGCTTTGATTGCTTGACCCTTCCCATTCCGGCGACGGTCTTTGGAGCGTTGTCTCTGGAATGCATCCTTGCTAAGTTCACCCAGCGTGAGTTGGTCCATGATGTCGAATGCATTGAATGCTCTAATGTGCTGACAGGCAGGTTCATCCCTTCTAAACATAAGAACTCTAAAAAAGTGGCTTCTACCACGTCAAGACGAATAACGCCGCCCACTCCAAAGAAGGTCCCATCTGCTTCCTCAATTTCTGTGGAAGCTGCACCTGCTCTTTCCACAACTCCGCCCCCCGCCTCAGCAGTAACCTCAACAGATGCTCCACCCACTTCACAAGCAGCACTGTCATCTGCATTTGATGTCCCACACGCACAACTAGAGAGTACAGCCCCACCCATCTGTTATCAGAGGAATGGTAATTTGCATGTGAAAACTCCACCTACTGAGAAGTTGCCAAGTAAATCGGGAAGGGATGATTTCAAGGAGGAGACGAATGGTAGAGATGATGATGTGGCTGCGTCTTCAGCGGTAGTAGTAACGAATGGATCTGATGCAGTCCTGTGCTACCGTGCCAGCAGTAACATGGCAACGGATGCATCACCTGGATTTGCTGTAGCAAGAGAAGAGCTTCAAGCCCCGAATTGTGGCGGTGGGGAGAAGAGCACGCCCATTTGCAATGGTTCTTTGAAAACGGAAAACACAGAAGAAATGAGTAATGTCTCCAGCCACTTTGAACAAAATGGCATTGAAACGCGAGGTCAGGATGTCATAGATCCTAGTTATGAAATGGCTAGAGAGGGAACAATACAAACAAATGAGGATCGGTGTCAAACTCAGTGTTCAAATGGGAATATTACAGTTTGGGAACTTGAATCGCCAGTGAGTGATTGCTTAGCCAAGAAGAGACAAGCAGAAAGTAGAAAGAAGAAAACGAAGGGAAATGTCCACTGTAATGGCACTGTCGAAGTAGAAAAGTGCACTGGACCGGAAGCCAGTTCCCTAGGGCAGAATAGTTTCTCTAAGGTAACCCCGCCTAGGTGGCAATCAACCCCAAAGCCACACCCGCAGCCCATGATCAAAGAAACCACTGCCTCATCGGCCGATCAGATCGACAGGACAAGGAACACACCCACTTCGTCCGTATTTGGTCGGATACCAGGAACCGGCGCCGTGACTCAGTCTCCATTTGAAGTTGTTAGCCAGCCCGGCGGAGATGACGAAAGCGAAGAATCCTCGACCAAATGCCGAAGGATGTTTCTTAAACAGCTGACCCTAGGAAAGGTAATAATTGATTAATTTAGTGAGTTTGATATGAGCTGCCTTCTCTTTGCAGTTATCCAGCAGCGTAGACAGTATTATTAGTAAGCAACAAGATGGGAACCATGTACAAGCTACACACTGGCAGTGGAAGTCAGGGGCAAGGAGCCAGTACCCCCTACTTTTTTTTACTGGGGGCATGGTGCCTTGGCCCCCCCCCCCACTTTTGGCAGGTCCTATAAAGGGGCAGGGCTC